AATTTGCATAGTTTTTTTGGCAACATTAAGACAATTGCTCACTCTACTGAGGTTTCCAGTATTTCACTACAGTTGCCTATTTCATTTATTTCAGTAACCTCATCAGTCTTGAAATTATCCAAGATTGTCAGTATCACTATTACAATTTCTTCTGGTATTGCTGCTTTGCTTCTCTTGGCCAATAAACCTCAGATACTATAGGTCCTTCCATCCTTTTGTGTTATAGACTTCGCTCTCATCCATTATCAAGAAAAAAGTCTCCAATACATTAATTCCATCTCAATAGTATCTTTTGTTTTACCATTATGATTGTTCTTTTTATTTAAGATTGTATGCATTTTTCTATTGTCCTGCTATTTCTTTTTATGTATGATTGCTATATGTCTGTTCTACAGTTTTCAACCACTGCATACTTCTTGAGTCAGTTATCTCTTAACTTTTTGCATTTATTTGTAAAAGTTTTTTGTTAAACATTATATATTCAGTGCCATTTGTTTTTTGCCATTTCATTAGATTGAGAATTTTTTTCACTTCCCTTGAGATAATGATTTTATGTGCAAAATGTTTGTAGTAGTATTCAAAATTTAATAATTAATTAATAAAAATAAATGTTGTTTATACAAAACATGGATTTCTTTGTGATTCTCTAGCCAGCACAATTTTGCCAATCTGTAGGTGGACAATGACTGACATGGCTAATGAGAGTATTGAAAGAGTCACCTCCATTTAAAAAAAATGGAAAAGTATGGAAAAAAAAAAAAAAAAATGTAAAATATTTTGCCATTTTGCTTGCAGTGCATCAGAATATTTTGGGAAACAATCTCCAGGTTCCTCAAGTTTTATCAACTTTAAAAATGTTTTTCATCTTTCTATAAAAAAAAAAATTTCAAGAAAAACGAAAATACAAAAAGACATTTCATGAAAACAATTTATTGATTGACATTATCAACATAGATTTTGATTTCATTTTTCTTTTGTTTGTTGGTTTTTTTTTTTTTTTATTTATTTACAGCAAAGAAATCCCCTTTATGAAGAAATCTTTAAGATGTTAAATGATCAGTTACATTGGATTGAAAGATGACATTAAATCTCTAGAGACCAGCAAAAAATCACATGACAAGACCTGCTTCCTGATTCAAAATATGGTCAGGAATTTCATTAGTCAACTGATCAGAATTGTGTTAACTCATAGTTCACCATAGGCCTGCTACCGAAAACCATGCTTAGAGACTGAAATCCAAAAGTATACAGTAAGAGGAGAAGTATTATCTAAATTATTTTCTGCTTATATGTACAAGCATTATGCTCTTCCACTTAGGATCAGAGTGCAGTATCTGCTTGATTTCTGCCCCTTCTGAGTTGGAATCAGTTATTTCTGACCAAGAAACTTAGACAATAATATTAAGCAAGAAAGAGGTTGGTAAAATGAAGGAGAAGAGGAAAAGGTGCGAAGGAAGGAGAAAAGATAACGCTATGGAATATTTATATATATATATATATATATATATATATATATATTACACACACGAGAGAGAGACATGCTTGCTGGCTTGATATCAAGAGACTGAAAAAAACTGAAACTAGGTAGAGATGAAAAGGCATAAAAATTATGATACAAGTCTTTAGACCAAAAATAAGATGCATGGATGCAGTACAAATTTTTTTTGTACATGAAACTAATTCATATTTACATAATATTAATATAAAATTATGAATGGCAACAAAATCTAGAAGGGATACAAACAAAGGGTAAATAGCAGAGGCATGAGATTATAGATAATCTTAGTTGTCAACACCCATACAATCTCTATGATCTGACTTTAGTAATTGCTGTTTATTATTATTATTAGATTAATAATAATTTTTCTTTTTAAGTCATGGTTACTGACATTAATAACTGTATAATTATTTGATAAATTGTTATTTTTGCTCTAGACATCGCAACATAAAGCCAATCAGACCACCCGCTTTTAGTACAAAGGAATGTAACATTTTACCAAATGTAATCTAAGTAAATAAATAAATATGGAATGAAAATTTAACTGATGAACATTTTGTCTGCATGATAATTCATGGAAAGAACGACCGTTTTGCTAACACATGAGTAAAAATCTTTGGCACGTAAATTACAGTTATCTCCCTTAGTCTGCTGAATCCATCTAATTCAAAAGCAGTGTAACAGCAGACAACAAATAAATAAAATGAGTATTCCTCTGTGATAATGAGTGATGACTATTTAAGCAAAGTAATTCATTTACTCACTGCATCTCAGGAACAAAAATTCTTCAATTGTTTCACATCCTTAAATCCTGTATTAAATTTTTTTTTTCTTGCCCTTACCAAAATACCTATAAATACTGTGTTAATTCTTGCTCTTAAAATCAAACAAGAATTTTAGACACATGAAGATGTTTTTTTTTTTTTTAATTAAAGCAATTTTGAGGAGGTGGATATTTGCTTTTTTTTTCTTTTTTTTTTTTTTTAAAGATTGGAGGAAAAAAAATTGAATTAAAAATATCCTACAAACCATAAATTTGCTATTATAAATAAATAAAAAAATAAGGAAAACAATTTAAACATTTTTGACACAATTTGAGGAAAAGCTATGCACTTATTTAAAATAATTTTCCTCATTGAAACAAAATTTTTGGAAAGTTAAAAAAAAAAAAAAAAAAAAAAAAAAAAACTAAAATGCTATATGCATAAAAGTACTAATAATGAAAACAACAGAAAGGATAGAAAATTCAGAAGTTTAAAATCAAAATTAGTCAAGTTATTTGAAAAGTAAAAGAAATTCAAACCTTTCTGTCTTGACGAAGAAAACAAATCATTAAATTAATTCTCTTTAAGAGAAACAAATCAAGAACCAACATGACCACCAGTTGACATTCTGTGACACTTTTTAGGTACTCACACCTGAGGTACCAAATTTACAAGAACATTTTGGACATTCTAAATGCCATGAGAATGGACAAAGTTGTTTTTCTTTGGTATATCCTGAAAGGCAATATTTTCTAAAATGAGGTGACGTCACAGCTCTATTACTAATATCTTGCTGACATACTTCAACCACATAATACAAAATGGTAGAATTACTGGAGTATCAAGAATAAGACACAGTCTTGAAAATATTGATCATTCTACAAAATGCCCTCCAAGATAGCAATTACTAATCAATCTCACTAGTTACAAGTGAAGTACAAATTCAACTACGATCAGCTTTTGACAACAGTGACATTGAGACTAAGTCAGCATTGAGAATTAGTGACAAACTTAATTCAATACATCAAAATATAAGAGTTGAGAATTCTATTAGAGACTGAGTTCTAGTCTAAAAATGTATCAGTTTCAATCTGATTTTGAACTAAAAAAAGTCTTAATATCAAATAGATATGACATAATTGAAACAGCCAATAAATACAAACTTGTATTTTTTTTTTTTTTTTTTTTATTTCTAGCAACAAAAGCTGGTAAAATTGATAATTTTTTTTTCTTACAGCCTAATGAATGTGTTCTTTAATGATCAGAAATCCTATTAAAAAAAATCAGTAACTGTAGAGAAGGTTTTAATAAAAAAGATTTAAAGACAATTTACAGCATAAGAATTAGTTTTTGTGATAATTTTTAAACTTTAACAATTTGCAAATCACACTTTGTTTTTTTGCTAAAAATTGTCATGGAATTTCTGAAGTATTTCCAAAAGGAAATTATAAACTTTCAAGAATCTTTCAAATAAAGCTTTATTCATTAAATCCAAAATCAGATAATAAAAGATCATAATTAAAAAGATCCTTATTCTTTTCTGTAGCATGTAGTAAACATCTAAGAGAATCCTGAATATTTGAAATTAAACTAAAGAGAGACATTACATCTCCATTTGATATTGGAACATTTGCAACCTGAGATAGAGGTCAATGAATATGTTTAAAATCACAGCAGTACACAAGTGTTGTTGTTATTAACACATTCACTCAATTAATCTAAAACTTATAAAAAAAAAAAAAAAGAAAGAAAAAAATGAAATGTAAACAAAACATTGGAAATGCCAAAATGGTTTTCATGACCATTTTCTTTAGGGTTGTAACAAGATCAGATGATCTAAATTTAGTCTTAAAAAAAAAAAAAAATAAATAAAAATGTCTGCTTGTTTAAACTGCAAACACTTTTCTTCATAAAAAGACATACAACTAATGAGAAGTGATCTTGATGTTCATAAAATCTAAAATTTAGCAGCTGAAAAGAATTCTGCCTCAATTGACAACACACCATGATAATGAAAACATGGACTCAAAGAAATGTGACTACAGCCTAAATAAGTAAACTTATAGGACTGGTGGGAGGGGGGTTAGCCTTTTTTTCCACAATTGTAGTGGAATAAAATAAAAATGTCTATATAAAGAATTATATTGTCCAAGTTCATATTTCTTTTTCAAGATGAAAATGGTGCTATTGCATTCATCTCTCGGTGTGACACAGCTACAGGTTTTTGCAAGAACCATCTCTTCAGTGCACCATCTCCTTCAATTAGTTGTTCTTCAGAATTTTCTCGTCTAAGTGGACTTGGTGAAGATTTGACATCCTTCTTGGCAGCAGTCAAGTTTAACATAGTAACTTTCTCCACAAGGGACATATTTGATTCTCCTGAATGAAGATTAGAATCGCTTCTAAATTTTTGTAAGTGTTTATGTGATGCAGATTCTTGTGTTGTAGAGATTTCATTTTTAGGATTCAGGTCGTCTGTCGACCGAGACATTTTCCGTTTTTTCAGAGCTGAAAATGTCAAAGGCTCTGGATCCAAGTCATCATTTTCATCATCAAGCTGAAACATTTCTTCATGGTATTCATCATAAATCTGTGGCATTTTTGGCAATGACATTTGTCTCAACTTTGACAATGTAGACACTTCTTGGGATGAAGACTCTGTCACAACTACATCTGGGACTTCTGGAGGTTGTGGGAATTCAGGAAGGTTAGGTGTGTTTGTGAATATTTCTATGGGTTTAATAGAACTTTTCTCCCATGGCTCCATCACTGAATCAAACAAATAAAAAAAATAAAAACTTTCATTATCAATTTACAGCAAACATTTTGCATTTTAAAACTAATTGATTCAAATTGATAAGATATCACTGTAACAGATACTAGCATTAATAAAAGCAAATTTTGTTTCTAGTTAACAAAATTTAATTATAGAATTTAACAAAGCAAAGCAATATAAAGCTATTTATGTTAAGGATCATACCATGGGTTCATCCAGTAGAGCTATTTGCATTCATGATTGCATCCATGGGAATGCACAAGGAATCAGGGTTAAAGGCAAAAATATTTATACCGACAAGTAAACTGAAGAATATCCTGACATTTAACACATAGTGTGAATAATTTAATTCTAAAAGTAAAATTTAATTCAAAAAAAAAAAAAAAAAAAAAAAAGCCACAACCTTCTTGATATTTACTCAACCAAGCTTTTAGCCTGAGTGAAGGCTAAATAATGTCAGCAGAAAGAACTGCTAGACTTGAAAATCAGTGTTCAAAAACCTGTTTTTTTTGTTTGGTCTCAACAAGAAACATACAAATGCCTCAAATATTCATCAATGATTCATGTGGAAATACATAGAGGGTTCAAGAGAAATAAATTAGCAAGGAATACTGGAGTTTTCTAACTTGAATACATTTTAATATATATTCATTAATTAATGATACTAACACGCAATAAAATTTAAGATTAAATAAAGTTAAATTTTGTACATCCAATATGCATAAAGAACACTTTTTTATAATCAATTATCTAAACTTTATAAAATAAATGTGTGTATACATACACACACACATTTATATACAGTCATACAATAGCACTCACTGAAGAATTACTAGATGCAATATACAAAGCCCCTAAATCATAATCCTAAACAAAAAAAGTAAAGATAAGGATAAGTCCAAATTATTCAACTGATAGCAACAATGCTTCATTTCAAAATTTCAAACAAAATTTCAAACAGAACAAATCAATTTATACATACATGTATTTTGTCGACTGTTGCCAATCATGTAACTCTCTTGATGAGGAGACTGTACAACACCAAAATCATTTTCATTACAGAGTATCTCAGAGTTAGGTATGCTTAATGACCCACTTGTCAATGAAACAGGATTTCTACTCATTCTGGCTTCAAATTTATGAAGAAAGCAATTAACTGCAATTAAAAAAAAAAAAAAAAAAGAAAAAAGTTTCATTTTGTATATCAATAGTAAACAAACATTATTTTCTTAAAATCTTTTCATAAAAACTTACAATTCTTAATGAGCTGTTTAACAATTCAACTTGTCTTGAGTTTACCTAATAGTTGAAACAAAATACACAGACAAAACTTAAGGCAAAGATACAGTGAATGAAAGAAGACATTGGAGATGGTATTTTTTTTTTCATTCCAGCAGTGTGGATGACAGTCTTAAGGAAAAGATATGAGAAGGCTGTCCAAATAGACTGGATTTGGTGACACTGGAAGCCATAATTGTAACAATACCCGCTGTTAGTCTTAAATAACACTGGTCAACATGATTTTTGGTGCCAAGAAACAAAACACATTTTTTAGCTAATTTAATAGTGCTGATTCTGAAAATGACTTTAGTTTTTCATAGTTAGCTACCATTTTTGCTGTACTGAAATTGATCATTTCTGAAAAAAAGATCAATTTACGATCTTGGTTGATCACAAAATTTAGTTAAAGGTCATAGAAACCTATCAGTTTTCAGGTAGGCTGAGTAATTTATGTCAACCACCTGAAATAAACTATGTTTTATTTATTTGTGTTTGAAATAAATTATTTGTGTTATGTGTTTTTGAGTCAAATATTTTAAAATAGAAGTACCAAATTTTTCCAATTTATTGCCAAAATTCAAATTAACTGATAAACTTTGTCAGTAATAGACTAGTAAACCTGATAATTAAGGTGACATCAAAAAAATGAAACCCTAAAATTTTCTGTTTGATATTCATAAATTTATCCCATCACTTTTATCCTTTCACCAAGCACATTGTTTTCACAGTTGGAAAGAATCTCCAACTAAAGACATCACAATTGAATGCACCGATTCCATTATACATGATACTGCTGGAGTATCAAAAGGGATTTAAATAACATTGAACATGACAGACAATCAAGAAAGAGAAAAATTTTACCATAGTTCTTATGTTCACAAAGGTTTTATTTCTGCTGTTAGTTTATTAAGTGATTTGATGAAAATACTTGTTGGTCTTGGTATATTCATTCGTGTTATTCTTAAAGATTTAGAGACTGATTGTTATTGCAAAAATAGCATTTCTCAATAAGCAGACCAATATTTGTTAGCTTAAATATGAATTGAAAGGTTTCTACAATTTTATTTTGAGAAATATTGTGATCGGTCAATATACAGAAAAATAAAAAAAATGCTTTTTCCCCCCAAAATTGAGGCATTTCTGTACAGCAAAAACGGTAACTACCCAAGAAAAAGTAAGGTCATTTTCAGATCCAGCACCCTCAAATTAGCTAAAAAAATGTTTGGTGTCTCAACACTATTTCAAAATTGTTTTTTTGTTGACGAGTGTAATTTAATCCTAAGTCTTATGACTGCATCACAATTTTAAGAATTCAGGAAAAAAGTTGGAAAAGGAATTCCATATAACCTATCTGTAATAAATTGTCATCAATGTGTGAATTCTTATGAATAACTGCATTCCTGGCAACTCATGTCACTGAAGATGAAAAACGTGTAAGGCCAATATTAAGTGCAATCATCATTTGCCGAGTTGTGATGAGACCTATACCCAAGTTGAGACAACTTTCATCCAAAAATTGCTTTTTTTTTTTTCTTTTTTTAAAATTTTTACTGGGATGATGAAAGGAATCATCCATTATAAACTGCCAACAGCTTCCTTAGAGAACAGAAAAAAAGTTGTTTATCATAATACACATTCTCATACTATTCAAGTAACCAAAGATATGGCAGAGGTATTCATGGGGCATGGGTGGGGTTGGAATATATCACCCACCATACTTTTATGACCATCATTTGTTTAGGAATTGGCAAAACTAATTTGAATGATGAAAAAACACTTCAAAAGAAAACATATCAGCTGGTCTCTTATTTCATATCAAAATCAAATACGGCATGAAAAAAGGAAATTGTTGATAGATGAAGTAAGGTTGTTGAGAGTGAAAGGAAGTCAATTAATCATTAAGTGCATCTTTAATTACTACATTTGTGTTTCCAAATAAATTGAAACATTAGATTAAATTTCTGTTACAATTTGATTACACTCAATTTCTTTATACATTCATTTTTACACTTTACTGTCTTTTTATTATTGTCCTAATGTCTGCAGCTTATTTATCCACCCACCCCTCACATTCATTAAAACTTTTTTTTTCTGTTAACTACAAAGGTTTACTTTGATGTTATTTTGGGGGAATTTTTTCTGCAAACCTTAATTAGGTTTAATTAGGGTTGTAAAGTGTTGACATCAGTGCTTATAAAGTTGACCTGATGTTATAGAAACAAATCATAGAAATCAAATCTATTTGACAAGCAGAAATCAAACACTTCTCTAAAATTAAAACAAACCAAGAATGGCATTTACTATTGGATTCAAATTACAGTTTATCTCACAAATGACTGCCACTGAATCCAAAGATCATTGTGGCATTTTCTTAAGTGTAATTTGTTGAAAAGCAATTAAATCTTTCTTTAAATAAACATTTTTACAAATAGATTGAAAAAAATATTAAGGCTGTAAAGATCATTTACTGCTTTTCCAACAATTGACTATATCAAAAACAAAAGATTTGATATCTTTTCTTTCAAGGTGAAATAAGTTCATTGTACAATTTAACTATAATGAATTTGTAAATGTAATTATTTACAAAGTAACAGATTTAAGTTAGAAACAATTGTTACTATGAAATATAAACTATACAAACTGAAGTACTTGCTTTTGGTGAGTAAGAGTCAAGATTAAGATTTCAATTGCTTATAATAACCGAATGAGTCTATCAAACTTTGATGATGAATAGGTAAGAATGCCAGAAAATGTTTATATATATATATATATATATATATATATATAATAAAAGGCTCAAACACTAATAATACATGATTATAATTTATTACATTGGAATCGTAATCACAATCCAAATATATGCGCGCGCACACACACCAGAGCAATATAACTCTGGTCTGATGAAGCAGTTGCCTCTTTGAAATAAATTATTACTGAACTCTTTAATTATATATATATATATATATAAGCTTTAAAAAGACATTTTAAAAGTATATATAAATATATACAAAAATATGTAAAACAAAGTGAGAGGAAGAGCAAGAAAAAAAATTACTCAGTATAAAGCAGTGAATCAAAAAAATTATAACAAAAAAGGGGGCTAACCAGTTATTGATCTCTCTCAGATACAACCAAGGCCAAAAATAGATGCACAACTAAAAAATGAGAGAAGGAAAAAATTACTACCAGAAAATCAGCAGTAACAGATTACATTTAGACCCAGTAGCAATTTCTTCTGCTTGCAAAGGAAAGGTTGCTTAGACAAATTTAATATAGCCTCAAGAATTCAAAGGATAAACTAAACTTTAGGCTGCTAGGTACCTCCATGAGATCTCTTTAAAAAAAAAAAAAAGAAAAAAAAAGAAGAGGACATAGCATGATGAAAAAGACACCAAACTTGACGAAAACAAAATTTTATTGTCTAAATGTTTGTGTTATTATTAAGAGGAAAGATCAAAGTTTATTTTAATTATTTTTTAAAATTTTTCCTTCTTTTTAGAACATTCTGAATTTTGATTTAAAAATCCTTGTTTCTCTTTGTATCACCGTGTAGTTTAAATGTCTGTATTGCTATGACGTCACTTGTACAAATCAAGATACTGCTGGTTCAATTCGCCATTCTTGCTTTCTGAACACATCACAACATATATCCGTCTTTTCTTCTCCAGTTTTCACTGCTTCAGCCCTCTTTTATCAGGCCAACACTGCAGTCGACCAACCAATCAGAATTCTTCACTTTTATTCTCAGTTACCCAGGCAAATAGCCCCCTCCAGTTCGAGCAATCAGCACACAACTTGCTATTGGTAGAAGCATGCCAAACTGTACAAAAACCCTCATTACCACAAACATACTGCTAGACGGGAGAGTAATGCCATTTTCACGGGGCAAACTTGCCGATGTCATGTGCCACCCATTAAGGTAAGACCCTTATTTTCCTATGCACCAGATGCAAGCCATTCTGGCTCGCTTGCTTCTACAGGGCTGTTCACTACACTCCCCCCTGATCTCATGATCACAAAACAGTCGCAAGCAGGTCGCTTTTGCTTCAAATGAACTGTCATCAGGGAAGCTAGCAGGATGTACCACATTAGTAGCTTGGCGGCTAACAGTTGGGGAGTCGTCCTCTACGTTTATGTCATCTTCAACAGACTCAGTATCAAGGGAGTGATCAGTTTCTTCTAATGGGTTTGATCTCAAATTTACTAACCACTCACTCTCTTGAGAATTGCTGTCCTGTGTAGCCGTTGGCACTAATCCCATGAATGGTCACAAGTCCTTCACATGAGGCGGAACTCCATCGACATGCACTGACTGTGGACTATTAACCCGAGTCACGTAACCCATTTGAAATTTAGTTGTGCATCTCCTGTAGGGAGTTTTCACCCAAACAACATCTCCCACTTCATATACTCCTTGAGTATTCTGAGGTTCAATGAGGTTTTTTTATATTTAACAATACATTGATTGTCAATTAAAAAAATTATTATAAGTCATTATTCATGTGTTAAAGCAAAGTTGATTTTTTATTGATAGTGGTCATGTACAGTATCTGCAAAATAGCAATTAATGTACTAAAATAAAAATAATTTCATTTGCTCTTGTCATGTTTCCAATGAAGAAATACTACTATGAAAAGAAAAAAAAATATCGGGGGGGGGATTGTATTGTGATGAAACTGAAACTGCTTTTTTGCAAAGCACAAAATTATGGTTTTCTTGTCCAGTCATGCATAATAAGAGAAATTAGACT